TGAACGAGAGAGAAAGAGAAAACGAAACAGATAGCCAGTCTACTAGACAGTAGAGCTGGAAGGATATTGATTAAATTAGAGAAATTGTGCGTTCAAGTTCACACCTTTTCAACACTAGCGGTACGGTACGGTGTACAGTGCAGTGCCGGCTCAGAGTAGTTGGTGGTACCGTACAGTAAAAGGAGGCAGTCCCCCAATCCTTCCTGCTTGGATCCTTGGAACTATGTCATATCGTAGCTAGTCTAAATGGTAGGTACCGGTACATGTACCGGTACGCAACCTCAAGAAGGTGTTGTGATGACTTGTACATGTTGTGAAGACTTGTAAATGTGAAGACTTGCACACGTACATGTAGAAATGGTGAAGGAAACATCTAGACTACATGTAGCTTTTGCGGTGCGTATTCTGCTTATGCAAAAGAAATTAGCTCGCAATGGCTATAGATCTCTTCTTGTTATCTCAACAATGGTTTCTTTATTGCTTCTTTCCTTTGACGATAAGGCCATCTTCTTGATTACATTGGCGGGCTGTTTCTGCGGATGCAAAGCAATCATTGGTCCGTCGAATGGCAGTCTTTGTATACGGCAACAAATATCCAAGTCTCCAGGAAACAAAGTTGTAAACAGATTGCAACCCCCAGAACTGCAAATCCCATCGTGGCAAATCCAGCCAGACAACAGCTCGTGTTCCACAAAGGTTGACAACACCATGTTCAAACAGATCATCAAACAATATTCCTTTTCCCTGTTCCCAGTGGGCCTTTAGTCCACCCACAGTGGGTTTGTTGGAGTTCTTTTTGTTTGGGACGCGAGAAGGCTGATGCTGTGGATATCGAACGGCCCATTCTTCCCCTTGTTGCTCATCAGGTGCGTTCACCAACAAGAACATGGGTTTTTCTTCTTCGTTAGTAGTATTTGTTGTGGTGGTTGTTCCATTACAATTGTCCTCCTGATTGCATCCTTCTGGTACCTGCAAGCCAAATAAATACCTCAATATGAGTGGATTGTATCCTCGATGAATGTCAATGAACGTGTTTTCATGCGTGACACTAATGCCCACAAAGGCGACATTCTGCGTGAGTTTCCGAAGGAGCGGGAAATCTCTGTGGAAAACCTCACTTTCCAGTCCCAACATGCGCAACCACAAGGTGGACCACCGATCTCCAACATATTGATTGTACCCGGCGTGATCGGGCAAGACATTGCCAATGAGGGGTGCCCCACTGTACGTTTTGGCAAATTGCATCCATTCCTGTGTCAGAGCCTCACTCTGGGCTTCCATGGACGCAAAAAGTTGTGCGTAGGGAGTTTGTTGTGGATCATCAAAGAAGGGTTGCACTTGTTTGTGAAGCCATCTCCAGTCTCGTAGTCTTACGACATGGGACAGCCAGCGCCAATTTCGTTCGTAGGCATAATGGGCGCGCCATATGGCTCTTGACAAGGAAAAGGGATGCTGCGCATTCAAATGGCCAGTCCAAACACAGATTCCAATGGAAGAAGCGATGCCCATCAAGAGTACCAGAATGGCTTGTTTGAGGGGAATTCTCATTTCAGTAGATGACGATGATGATGACGACTTCATCGTGGGTGTTGGGAGAGATGATGCTTACTTCTTACTTCGATAGTCGACTAATGTTCTTTTTTATGGATCGTAGGATTTGACAAACATGTATTGGTCTTTTGTCTTATCGCACCCAGTAGACTACCGTACAGTAGTACAGTATGACGGCAATCATCATGATCGATACATGTACACCTCGTTGCTTTCTTGAATGATGTTGTGTCTGTGCCCACACCCCCTCGACACTAGCTAGTCAAGCCAGACTACCCGGTACGACTGTACCGGTACGGTATAAGTCACCCATTTGGCAATTCGCCATTGGCAAAAGATCTTATCCTCAGCCCTAATGATCAATCTTCCTCAAAGATACCGTTCAGCCAACAGCCAAACATCGCAACTTCGAAAGCAACAGTTAGTTTGACAAGCATTTGATAGTTAGTACCAGGTACCGGTACCAGGTACAGCCGTATCACCATCATCACTATGTTGTCTGCCGCCAGCAGTGAATCGTTGCGCAAGGAACTAGAAGCAACTTGGCAATGGAGGATTGACACCGATCCCGAATTGGCAGCTGCCTTGGGGTTTCTCTCACAGCGACGATCGACGCATTCGTTGGATCCCCGATCGCTGGAATCCTTTCGGCAACGAGAAGCTTGGTTGCGCCAAGCGCTGCAGCGGTTGGAGACCCATGTGAACAGAGACGAATTAGCCAATGACCAAGAAAAGCTGTCGTATGATCTCTACCAAAAGCAATTGGCGGATTATGTCACATTTACGCCCAAGCACAAGGCATATCTGTGTTGTGTCAATCGACTTGAAGGACCTCAGACAGATCTACCTCTGTATGCTCGATACTTGCCCGTCAAGACAACCGCTCAGCGACGGTTTTACAAATCGTTTCTACAAGCCATTCCCAAGCAGTTGGAAGAAGTCATGGACTTGCTACGGAACGGTTTGCTAGAAAACAGGACACCGGCCAAAATCTCTTTGGAAGGGGTGGTGGAGCAGGTTCGGTCCATGGTGGACAGTGGTCTTACAGCCTTTTCCGATCCATTCCAAGATGCCTTTCCACAAGAAGAAAAGGATCAAGAGACAGAATGCATGGGTCTCGTCAATGGAGCTGTTCAAGAGGCATTTACCAAATTTGCAGACTTTTTGGAAAACGATTACATACCCAATTTGCGGGAAGAAATCAGTGCTACCAAAGGATATCCCGATGGCGCTCAATACTATGCCGACTGCTTGGAGTTTCATACGACAACAAACTTGACTCCCGAGCAAGTCCATCAGTTGGGATTGGATGAAGTGGCAAGAGTACGAACCGCCATGGAATCCATTGCATCAAAAGACGGATTCGACGGAAAGCTAGACGACTACTTGGAGCATTTGAGAGTGACACAAGACTACACGCCACAATCTCCACAAGCCTTATTGGCACATTTTCGAAATCTTGTCGGCGTCATTGCCCCCGCGATGCTCAAGCTCTTTCATGTTACTACCTTGCCCAGAATGCCGCTTTCGATTGTGGAAACGCCGCCAGCCAGTGCTCCCATGGCTCCTGCTGCTTACTACTTGGCTGGGTCCTCGGATCGAGCCGCTCCACGTCCTGGAACCTTCTATGTCAATACTTCGGAACTCGAGACGCGAAGAACGTATGAATGTGAAGCATTGACGCTCCACGAAGCAACACCGGGACATCACACACAAGCTGCCATCCAGGGTGAGGCAGACATTCCAGATTTTCGCCGCTACCAAGAAGATCGCCGTTATTTTGAAGCACCCTGTCGTTTCCCATTTTACACTGGATACATTGAAGGTTGGGGGTTGCACTGTGAAACGCTTGGCGAAGAACTGGGTTTGTACCAACGACCGTCCGATCGCATGGGACAGCTGTCCATGGAGGCGCTCCGGAGCTGTCGATTGGTAGTAGACACTGGCATGCATGCGCTGGGATGGACCAAGGATCAAGCCTTGAAATTCATGTTGCAAAACACAGCAATGGGGGAACACGATGCAGCCCAAGAAACGGCACGGTACATTACGTGGCCCGGTCAAGCGACAGCTTACAAGGTCGGCGAACGCTTTCTGTTCCGGTTGCGATCCAAAGCCGAAGCAGAGCTAGGAGACAAGTTCGATCCGCGAGACTACTACGACGTCGTCCTGACGTGTGGAGCCGTTCCTCTCGATACTCTCGAAGCTCTTGTGGACCAATATATTGAACAAACGAAGCAAGGGAAACAGCAAGAGAGCGCCAAACAGGCTTCGAATGAAGCGACGACAACAGGCATGTCCGCGGACGCGGGCTTTTTGGAATCCATGACCTTTGCAAATTGGTGCAAGTGCTGCGTAGTCCCAGGATCATGCCAAACGGCTTGAAGTTGACGACAGTGGAGTTGCGGGGAATGGGCTCTTGAAGGGGTTCCTTTGGTTAGTTACCAGCAAGTGGAGTAAATCTTCCACTTTGAGTCATGCTTCCGAATTACTCAATCTTCCATATTGTGTCATTCTTCCAAATTACATCATCACTGGTACTGATTTCTACGCGTTTTTACGTAGATCCTTTCCAGATTGCGTCATTCTTCCAGATTGTGTCATTCTTCCAGATGGTGTCATTCTTCTATTTTCAGTCATTCTTCCAAAAGAAAACAGTGAACTGCCTGATGAAGATGTAAAACAGGTATTCCCGCAACTCCAGTCGTCACGATGCGCTTGCACAAACCAGAAACAATGTGCTAATATGTGCTCACCAGAGCGGTCTGCAGGTTGAAGACGAGCTCCGTGCAAGGCGCGGCAATAACACGATGATTTAGAATGCCCCGATTCACATCCCCGAGAGTAGCCTTCGAGCAACTAGGACTCATAAATCAATTCAGTTGCTTCCGTAATGATACCAGGTAAACACAGACCTGATCAAGGCAAATCTGAACGATGGACGCCTTGAGGTCTGTTGTTGTAGCCAAACGAACGGAACAGGAGTCCGCTTAGGCATTGCTTCCTGCTCGGTTTTCCTGGATTGCTGCCTGGTAGTTAGCTGCTTGCTCGATGGCTCTGGCCTCTTGCGTTTGCTTGACTGCTCTGATGTTGTGTTTTCCGTCTCAAAGATGCTACCAGGTGGGCGCTGAGAGAGTAGACTAGCCTAAAGGAACTAGAATGGATTTTCGTACTGGTACATGTACTGAATAGTGCTTCGCGGCCTGTCGATAACTTCAAGTCGAATCATCGTCATGCTAAATCCTACCGTTGCTAGTTCTCCTCCTTTATGGGCTGTTTAGTCGCCCAGCACCTCTTCCCAGGTCTGGAAGGCTCCGCCTTGGCCAGGAATTCATGGTCAGGCGCTTTTTGAATCCACGTAAAACGTTTTCGACTTCTCTGCTGAGCCACCTTGCCATCGTCGACAGTTTTCCCTAAGTTCTCTGACATCTTTACATCAATAAGGCTTTTGCTTAGTCAAAGCTCCTGTTGCACTTTGGTTTGTGCGCTTCTGAGGGCTCGCCAGCTTTTGGTTTTGTGTCGTCAAGTTGGCCGGAAAGGGACACAAACGAAAAGTAAGGGCAAAGCAGAAGATGGAATGCCCGCTCAGTACAAGCGGAGGCGAAAGAGAAAGAGGTAGATGTGTAGAAAGTTAAGCTAGTCGGATTGAGAAATACCAGTGCCTGTGGTTTTTGGTTTGCCGTTTTTGTTGTCGTTGGTATCAGTACTGATCCTAGATTAGGTAGTCCCAATCAGATTCTTCGCCCGAGGTGGACTCATCAGATTGTTGGTCCAAAAGATTCTCACCATCGAAGTAGTCTTCCCACCCTGGGCACCCTTTTTCCTGCAGATACTTTAGCATTTCCACACGGTTGTAGCGGCCAGCAGCATGGCTTGTGTCTGAATTCCAAGGACAGCCATGCTCGTGTAGATACTTTAGAATCTCCAACTTTCCATGACTAGCAGCCTCACGGCATGCGTATGCATCCCAGGGACAGCCAAGCTCATGAGCATACTTCAAGATGTCCAGATGCCCTCCGCTAGCAGCAGCAGAGCACGTCCGTTGGTCCCAGGGGCACACATTCTCATGTAGATATTTCAGAGCATCCAAACGGCCCTTTCGAGCAGCATTACGGCATGTCATCTCATTCCACGGACACCCAATTTCATGGGAAAGCATCAGAATCCGCAAAGTGCCACACTTGGCAGCTGCTCGGAATACTTCTTCATTGCATGGGCATCCATTTTCGTGTAGATACTTCAAAATGTCCAGACGTCCGCGTCTAGCAGCAGCAGCACTCACCAAAGGGCCCCAGGGGCACCCATTTTCATGAAGATACATCAGAGCATCCAACTTGCAATTGACTGCAGCCTCGCGAAATACATCTTCATCCCATGGACAGCCATGTTGATGAGCATACTTCAAAATGTGCAGATGGCCCATTCGAGCAGCAAAACAGGTCGATTGGTCCCATGGGCACACCCATTTTCATGTAGGTACTGCAGAATATCCAAATTGCCATTACTGGCAGCTTCTTGGCAGGTCATATCATTCCATGGACAATCATGTTCATGAGCATACTATGTCAAGATGCCCGCCTCTAGCAGCAGCAGGACACAGCCAAGGGCCCAGGGGCACCTATTTTCATGTAGATATCTCAAAACATCCAAATGACCATTACAGACAGCAGCATAGCTGGCCATATCATTCCATGGACAACCTTGTTGATGAGCATACTTCAAAATGTCAAGATGCCCTCCTTCAGCAGCAGCAGCACACACCCGACGGGACCAGGGGCATCCGTTTTCATGAAGATACTTAAACACATCGAAGTGACCATTGCTGGCAGCACCTCGGCATGCCATCTTATCCCATGGACAGCCATGTTCGTGAGCATATGCCAATGTGTCCAGATGGCCACCATGAGCAGCCATTTTGCTTGTCTCTACATCCCAGGGGCACCCATTTTCATGAAGATACTTCAAAATATTCAAATGACCATTGGTGGCAGCAGCAGCACACATCCGAGTATCCCAGGGGCATCCATTTTCATGAAGATACTTCAAAATGTCCATATTTCCACTGCTGGCAGCAGCAGAGAATGCCCAAAAATTCCATGGATTTCCTTCCTGGCGTGCCCATTGGAGAACAGGAAGACTTCCCACTTTGGCAATTCTTTTGCAAAGATGGGCACGAAAGTAGCTTCTCTCGGTACCAAAACGTCTGGTATCATCCAAATGCCAGTATTTGGCACAAGAGACGTTGAAGAATGCAACGCTGGCGCTGGTTGTATGGCACGGATCCTGATGGAATGACAGTACAACTGGTAAGCCTTGTAGAGTTAGTTGAACTGTTTGTTGACTCCTCCCACAAAGGCATAGTGTCCTACACCCAGAAATGGAAAGATATTGCCAGTCCAAATATCTTTTTGCTCCAACAATGACTCGATTGGAGGGGACAATCGTTGCTTTTTGTTAGCAGTAGTTGCTAACGTGAGGAAATACTACTTGAATAGAGGGATCTTGTAGAGGTAGCTACCACCCAACGAAATCAACTGCAACTATTCAAGACGAGTGCAAAGTAAATGCAAAGTTCGCTTCTTAGTAATTCATAATCTGTGTTGTGAGCTTTGATTGATGCGATCAGTAAAGCTAGTTCGTAGCGTGTTAGATCAATGCATCGTGGTAGTTGATCTTGATTCATACGGAAGTCAACGTGGTATCTGCGGGAAACGGTTCGTTGGCAGGATGCTTTACTCCTGTCGAATACTCCAAATCACCGTGTCCTTTGGTTTCATTGAGAACGTGTTCTTGCCAGCGTTCTCTGTTCCATCGTGTTGACCCATAAAGCATGACTCAATCTACTCACGGATACTCTGAGTCGTGGGAGGAACTGTAACGCTTTCACTCCCCTCATATATATATATTGAATTACTTATTTAGGTTAACAACCTATTGGGTCCGGAGGACCTTTTTCTACGCTGGCAATAGTTGAGCCCTAGGGCCCAAATAGCTGAGTCGTATACCATTGATGAATTGCACGGTAGGAAGATTCACGGTGCACACCAAGCATCAACACTGAAGGAGGATATGCCTCATAGTAGCACGGCTACACTATCCTATAGTCTCACCGCCGTTCACCTCCGCCCCATGAACAAGGGGCAGGTCCCTACAGCTCTACTTACAACGGAAGTGTGCATCTTCCATCATGACCTGGAGCGCGGTGGCCTAGCCAGGATTTAACCTATTAGAAGGGCGCTGATCGACAACAGTCATCATCGATCCACCTCCACCCAGGTGCGTCTGAGTGATCAGGTCCCATGCTGTGGCCATTGCTTGTCGTGCAGGGCAAGATGCCAGCAGAGTCCATAGGCGGTGGCGCACCTAAGATGGACCATGTCAGGGTATACCTATCCAGTGGGCGAACAATGTCAGGCAGAAGCCGACAAAGAGCCATGCGATAGGGCCAAGTGACGCACTGGCAGGCCGTGGCTCCCAAAGGGGAGGCACAGTGTCTGCTGGGGCGGTGTGGACTGTAGGAGGGGTTGTGGGGTGAATGTTGGAAGGGTGGTTGTGGGCTGTAGATGCATGGTGCTGGAGGGAGGGGGGGGGGTGGGTTTGCTGTGGTAGGCATGATGGTTGGTGGATGGGAAGGTTGTTGGATCGTGTAATGTTGACTGTCGGGTCGTTGCTGCAACTCAAGCACAGGGTTGCTTGTGAGGTGGAGAGGATGATTAATTGAGGAATCTATTCAAGGAGGCCAATGCTCTGGGCACTGGCAATCAGGGTATGGTCAAAGCTGTTGGGTGGGGATGGCACTGGTTCAGAGGCTGGGTCCCATCTAGTACAGTTACCACAAACTGAAAAAGGAAGGGATCAAAGCCAAAGGCTGATAGGGATTCTTTTAGGGAAAACTGGAGAAGTAACGCTATAGCCAGTAGAGCAGTGGTGGGGGGATCAAGGGGTGTTGTTGGTTGATGGGGCTGTGTTCTGGTTGACACTGTGTTGTATCAAAGGCTGGTACTCAATCTGGTGAAGGCCACCACAGACTTCAGCAGAGAGTCAAGCCAAGATTTGTAGAGGGTACTCGATTCAGTGGAATGGACAAAGACTGAGAGTCACTCAACAATCAGCTAGAGAGGTATTAGGGTCAGGCGGTGGTTGATATCTGAGCCACACCAGGCTGCAGTTCTGCTGGGGCTCAATCCTTTGGAGTCAGACACACTCAGTAGGAGAGTCAGGAGCAGGAGCAGAGAGGTGACTGGTTCAATACGGGGGGTGTTGCACAATCTGGCTGTGGTGCTAGAGGGGCAACTTTTGTTTGTTCTTGTGGGGGTGAGATCCTTTGGAGATGAGCTGATATCCCAGGGGGGGCTGTAAACCAACCAAGAAAGCAGCCGAGCCTGGATATAGCAGAACTCAAGTCCTTACAGGAACACTGTTGTTGTTTGTTGTTCTCTCTGGTGGGAGGAGTTAGATATCAATGGAGGGGTGGTATACAGTGCAGGAGGTATCAGTTCCAAAAGGACGTCGGGAGAAACCACTAGATGGCCGGTGAGAAAGTAAGAATACAGGTGTAATTCTCTTCTCGGTGGTACTGCAGGTATCTCGTGAAGTCTTCTTGATGTAGAGGCTGTCGTTCGATCCGTACAAGGAAAAGGTACGTATCGGAGAAGAGGTACGTTCGCGGGAAGATTGATCGATTCACGAGGTGAGTTTTGATTCGATTCGGAGTCGATTCGATTCGGTGGGATTCAGCGAGTCAGGTTGCCTTAGGGATAAGGTTAACCGGAGCCTGTGTTGTGAGGAAGAAGATCGGCCGTTCGATCGAAAAAGGAGCAACAATGGGATTTCTTGGGCCGTCGGTAGTAAGAGCAATGTCGGTTCACTGCAGAGTATGGGAGAAACTTGCACTGCTGAGTCTACTGAAAGCCGTGACTTCTTCTTGTGTTCAAATTCTTCCAACTTGGCCGTCGGCGGTCGAGAATAGAAAACCTGCCCGATCTCGTAGGATTTCAATGGGATGGCTTTCTAATCTGGACCGGAGAACGCCGGCGTTGACAGTCGCTTGATAGGAGAGGTGCGCAGGAGATAGGAGGTATCGATCCTGTTGATCTTTCGGCTTGAATGAGAGATGGAGAGAGGAAAAGAGGATGTTATGTTTTCCGTGATGACGTTGAGTGGATTTCCTATAGTAAAACAGTCTCTTCAACGAAAAAACAGATAACAAGGCTTCCCGAGGTCCTTTCGCTTCGTTTCAATGCTTCCGAGGGTGCTAATAGGTATGGTGATGGTGGATGGTATAGAAGTGACCGTCGTTATTATCGTTGTTGCTATTATAGTTGTTTCGGTTGACAGGTTCAGAGGTGGGAGTCGGTAGTCGCTCCCACGTGAAAAAGTAACGCTTTCACTCCCCTCAGTGGCGACATGTCGACTCTGAAGTGTTTCTTACCGCAATCCTTTGGTATCTCCTGACCAAAACAGTAGTGCATTCAGCATAGGCCATACCGATGTATAGTCCCAGTGTTTGCTGAGGATATCTGTCAGGGTTAGTAGATCCAGGGATATGATGAAATCGCAAGATACTTGCAGCAACGCTTCCCTAGTACGGTGGTAGAAAGCGCATTGTGTCTTTTGAGAATCTTTGAGTGGTGCATTGAGGCGGTGTTGACTACGTTTCGTTGTCTCCGAACATCATGGTCTGTTGTGTCGACCAGTACTCCTAGGTCCTGAATGTGCTTCGTAGGTCAATGATCTGCTCAGTGGCGGTAAGGGCTGCAACATACTCAAGATCACGAACGTTTGCGTCTCGCTTGTTGACTGTAGCTTGCTGAACCAGTCGATGGGAGTCTTGTCGCTAGGTGAGGACTCCGGTAACTGACCGTCCACTGATGAGATCGTGGTAGAGGTTCGCATCCACATATGTGGTGAGAAGACCCGTTTGCCTCGCGGTACCGGTGCGTTGTGCGGTTGAACTTCTTGGCACCATGGAAGCATGAGTATCCCATTCGTACTCTTTCTTGTGAATCGCTGAGTAATCTTCGTTCCTCCTTTCGGATGCTTATGATGCCGTGTCGCATCTTGGAAAGGTACCCGCAAATTTCTCTTGACTCGTTCTAAGTGACCCATTCTTGTGCTGCCCGAAATCTGGACATCGTCTGGTGGCCGGTGCGATATCGAACCTTCCCATTTGGATTGCCCACTGTAGACTACGCGATGAGGGTGACTGGATATATCTTTTGTGTGTCCATATCATTGAGCTCTGTTGTGTCAGTCTCTGGATGGTCTCCTTTGATGAGTGGAGATGAGCTTGTTTGGGCATGTGTCCGGAGATCCTGTTGGTAGTTGCTGAGTACCTTCTCAATGTAATTGCGAGGTGCGTAACTCAGTACCCCGTTCTCATCACGGAAGAAATCACATCCTAGGTGGAACCTGATGGCACCGGTTCCCTTAGTTTGAACTTGTGCTCCCTTCCAATAGTCGCGATGATCTTGGATGCGTCTTTGCTGACAAATAAGGAGGTCGTCTACGTAACAGCGATGGATACTCGTAGTAGCTCCCTTTGTCTCGTCATCCAGATGTCTGATTCCGGCTTTTGTAAGGAAAGAATCCATTGAACGAAGAACATCTGCAAATCGTTCATCCATCGTGAATCCAGAAGACTTGAGTCCGTATAGGGCACGGCTGGATGATGAGGAGTGCATCCTTCTCGATCTACAAACTCGGGCCCTGCAACAACGTACACCTTCTCTTTCGTATATGAATCCAAGTAGGCGTTTCCGATGTCTGTTGCCCATACTTCGCAATCATTGGGTTTCTGCGAGGAATGTGAGGATACGAATCCCACATAACGAAACCACACTGGAATAGACGGAGTCTACTGGTGTATCAGTGAGATGTCCTCCAGCGACAAGTGTGCTTTGTGTCGCCCATATCGTGTTTGACTGCGTACACCATAATGCACTCGGATCTTCTTCCAATCTGGTCCAGGGTTATGTCCTTTCCTTTGTTGATGAAGGCTCGTACTCATCAATCTGGTTGAGTTCGATCATCTCGTCATCTCTCCACTTGTTATC